AAAGAGGCCTCATCAACTTTTTCGGAGGCCTGAACTTGCCCCACTCCCTTAGCAACCTCCGTTAATTTTAATGAGGTTGAAAGCCTAGACACATTGGGGGAAGGTACAGATACAGGAAGAACAGATGCAGACTTTGCAGGTGACACAAACACAGAAAGGTGAACAGGCCCAAGATGAGACACAGACATAACAGAGGGACCTACAATAGGATCTTTGTCATATGACCAAACAAGCGCTTTCGGGACCGCGCAGGGTCCCTTCATCAGGCTTTAGCATTTAGTAATGCTAAAGCCTGATGAAGGGACCCTGCGCGGTCCCGAAAGCACTTGTTTGGTCATATGACAAAAAACTTCAATAAATGAAGCTTTTGCTATCTCAAAAGGATTGGTGTGCTGGTGACATTTCTACAATTTTGCTGACATTCGCAGCGCCATCCGCGGTCACTGGGAGCACCCCCCACTACAAGGGACATATCGGTAAGGAGTGCAACAAGGAGAGTACTTACTTACTTACTACAAGAGAATCTGACACAGGTAAGTTCTCTTTGTCTAGCACTGGCTTGTCGAGCAATGCTGAGGGGCATTGAATGTATGAATGACCCGAGTATCACACAGATTACACCTGATCTCACATCAGTCCTTTGTCACATGCCCAAAACCTTGACAAAGGGAGCACTTTACCTGTCTACAGGAGGAAGCAAAGTGCCCTTTTTCTCCACATTTATTGCAAAGTTTTGGCTGCCCCTGGTAGAAGATCACCAGACGATCACTGCCTAAAAAGGCAGATGATGGGAGGTGCTGAACCACATTGTTCACTGCCTTAATCTTCATACAAGCAGTCCAGCCCCCTGTCCAGATGCCAAATTCATCTAGGATCTTCCCCAGGGGCCCCAAAACCTCATCATATCTGCGCAGCCACATAATGAGGTCAGCCTGGGGGATAGACTCATTTCTTACCAGAATTGTGACAACCTTAACCAGGGGCTGTCTGGATACTATTTTTGGGACTAACTCCTCCCACTAGGCTGACCCCCGCAGGTCTGATCACACCTCTCCCAAAGATGTCTAAAGTTTCAGGCTTTAAGAATGAAAAATCATACCTGCATACCTGTGTACCTACAGGCCTTATCAGGGCAACTATATCTTCAGCGCTAAAGACCAAAATCTTATTGACAACATCTTTCCTAGCTGGTGGGGGCCATCACCCTCCCATCACAGCTGCCCCACATTCCTCCTCTTAAAGGTGGAAGGAAAAGGAGAAGTGAAGCCGGATAGAAAACTCATTACCCTCCCACCTACATACCTCAAACTGCCCCTCACTGTATCGGCAAAGGATTTTTTAGCAACTTTTCCCGAACATTATTTCACTTTCCCAAGCTTAAGATCCTCAGTTTGCTAATCATGCTGTGTTCCAATCCTCTACTGTCCACTCCCACACTCACAGCACCAGCAGAGGCAAAGCTGATCCCATCTTCCAGTTCCATAATTGTTTGTGTTTGCTGTCTCAACCTCCATTTCTAAGGTATGTACTATATTCTTCACAGGATCTGGCACTTGTTCTGCCATTTTAGCGATTTTTTCTATGTTCACAACTGGACCCCAAACTGATGTCATTTCTGCTTCTACTCCATAGTCCATCTGCCTTTTTTTTCTTTACATATACAGTGTTCTCCTTAAATCTAAACTTAGAACGTTTAGATACCTTGTCACTTTTACCTTCCAAAAGTGTTGCTCACACACTAGTAACTCAAGCTCTTTAATAAACATCAATTCATCCACCATCTTCCTCCTCTTGGGGTCTCATCACTTTCTCAGGGGTAGCCTGCGGGCAGGGTGTCCCGAGGCCGGGTGTCACCTGGTTTCCAGACCGGGTGACACCCCACTGTGTCATCATCGCGCATGTGCGGCCATCTTGGTGATGGACGCTGGCAGGGAGAGGAGGGGACATTCACCCGGCGGGATGAGGTATGACGCCAAGTCCCCTCCTCTCTCATGACACTGTCGGGCTCTCTGTCCATAACCTGCTGGCTCTGACATCAGAGCCAAAGAACAGATCACTCCGCCGCTCACTGCTGCAGAGCCCAACATAGACCCACACAGTCCCCCAGAGACCCTGCAGAGCCCACCTGACACCTTGCAGATCCCACCATAGACCCGGCACAGTACACCTGGGATCCCGCACAGCCCACATGAGACCAAGCACATTCTAGAAACCCCACAGGGCCCACCTGAGACCGTGCAGAGCCCACCTGAAAGCCCACACAGCCCATCTGAGAGTGACCCCGCAGAGCCCACCTGAGACCCCGCAGCGTCCACCTGAGACCGTGCAGAGCCCACCTGAAACCCCACACAGCCCATCTGAGAGTGACCCCGCAGAGCCCACCTGAGACCCCGCAGCGTCCACCTGAGACCGTGCAGAGCCCACCTGAAACCCCACACAGCCCATCTGAGAGAGACCCCGCAGAGCCCACCTGAGACCCCGCAGAGCCCACGTGAGACCCCGTAGAGCCCACGTGAGACCCCGCTGCGTCCACCTGAGACCCTGCAGAGCCCACCTGAGATCCTGCAGAGCCCACCCAAGAGTGACTCTGCAGAGCCCACCAAAGACTGTCTATAGTGGGCTCTGCAGGGTCTAAGGTGGGCTGGTCCCTTTCCCTGCACAGCTCTTACGTGTCAGGCACCGGCTGCTGGGCCCCCGGCCTCCTCTACCGCCAAACCGGACAGGTACCGGTGCTGCTGGGCCCCAGCCTCCTCCACCGCCACTGCCGCCTCCTCCACCACCGCCAGGCCCTGGCCTCCTCCTCCACTGCAGCAGCCAGGCCATGGCCCCTTGACCAGGTGCCCCTCTGCTTCGGGCCCCATATTACATTTTTGTTTTGGGGTTTAGACACCTTTTAATCCTATATACAACATAGATCTTGTATACTATCATCACAATAATGCTAGAACTATAAACCAAGATGCAGAATAACATAAAATATTAACAAAAGCAAAGCAAAAAAAGGAAAGGGCAATTATTCTAGCCACGCTTAAGACAAAAAATATTTCTTATGATCAGCAGGTCTCTTTAAATTTCATCTGCTGGGAAAACACTGCTGTGAACCTGTTGGCTGACTTAGGAACTGCACTTACTGGGGTGACAATAGTGTATGACTCTGACGAGGGCTCTATAAGACTACTGCTGGTTTCCACATATTCTCATTTTGCATTCTTACCTTCTAGATGGAAACTGAGCAGATCTTTGGCACTCCCGTTGCAATTTTGTGTTTGTCTTTAGCTTCGAATCAACAGTGTCAGGTCTTTTATGTTAATGACACTTTTAAATCATTTAGAATACTTGCCAGGAACCATAACCTGTGTTGTTGCAAAATACTTGGCAACACTTCTCTTTGCTAGAGAAAATGTAGAACAGTTGTATCCGAGGTGTATTCCATAGTTGAAGTAGTGCCATGTAAGATCAACGAATCTGAGTTCCTAAACCAAACGTTTTATAGCAAGAATCACACTTTAAATCTGTCCCTTGGATGGAGGATTTTCAGGACTAGAGTGAACTAGAAGAACTCTGGGATCTCCATACTTGGCAGATACAGACCTGCTCCTTGGCAATGATGGTGTAAGATGATTTATTTAGATATATGAGAACTTGGTATCTTGAAAAATAGTCCGCACCTAGCAAAAATGTAATGATATATATAGCTGGCTTGTGTCATGGTTCTTCTGGTATGTCAACAAAGTCTCTTTGGCTGATCTTTGATGTCCCTAATAGCCAGATTTCATGTAAGTGGCTTTGCTTTGCTTTTGTTTTACTCTTCATAGGGAACTTGTGTTGAGGAAAAAAATCTATGTAAGACTAAGGCTTTATAGCAGACACAACAAGGAGCCTGCATCTACCTTTATCTCTTTCCAGGGTAGGGTAGGGTATCCACTATACCGCTTTACTCTCAGTTTACAGTCTTTATCCTTGATACAAGTTCCCTTTAACTACTTAATGGCTGATGGCATATTGTTATTTTTATAGTAAGGTCTCCGCCAGTTCTGGAATTACTGATTCTGTAAGCTGCATGGAGCTAGCTAACGTTTAATCTTTTAGGACACCTGGAAAGCCCACAATAATGGACTCCATTGAAAGAGTGCATTCGCCCAGGATTTCCAGTTCTGCCAGTAGGCACAGTGACATCACCCATGCCACCCCAAAAATATCGGAGGCCAGGGCCGAGGTAATTGGGAGGAGAACGGTTTGCTTAAAAATCGCTTTTTAAAGCCATTTGTATTGGGGAAGGGCAGGAGGCTTGCAACAAGTGCACCTTCCATTTGCCATGGAAGGTTCACTTTACATTGGAGCTCACATATCACAATCTAAATGTACAATCCCCATTAAGCTGGCCATACACTATACAATCTCCTTTAGGTCTACCACCAACTATACAACTATACACCAACTATACAGTACAAGGGGCATCCTGATTTGATAAGAATTGAATGTATTGTTTAGAAGTGTCCTTATATTACCTACTTTGGTAAATCTCAAGAAGATTACAATATAATTGTATAGTGTATGGTTACCTACAGATCTGTTAACATCTACTGTATGTAGTGTAAGGGCCTGCTCGATTGGATTCAAACTGATTGGATAGTTTCAGTAGGTCCTCATATTAAATAGTTTGGTAAATCTAAAGGAGATTGTACAGTACATGGTGATCTTAGGTCACAGATGCAGTAGATGACCAATGGCTGCCTCCAATTTGTACACTGTAAAGATCATCATCTACAGTATTGTACATATAATATATCTTTGTCAAAATCTCTTTCCTCACTTCTCCATCTAGATTGACATCTAGTGGTCAGGCTTCTATGATGCCTTAATACCACCTACTCTATATCCAATCCTTTGCTCTTATTGTATTATAGATTGGGAATAATGGGCACATGGCTGTGGAGCCAAGTCACAAGTGATCCGTGTACTGCAGTTTGAAAAGCAACTCTGCTATAAGATGCTACCAAAAAAACATTTTTGTTTCCATTGGAGTTCTTCTTTGGAGATTACAAATAGGGTATTGTGTAGCAACACTATGCCAGGAAATAGTTGGTTTCGCACATTACATTCAAAATAATTGTTTTCTAAGCAGGGATATCCAGTATGTAAATAAAAAAACAAAAATCACCGGGTCATAGCCAGGAGCAAAGAGAAGAACGAGCCATTAGAACACTCCTGTAATAAGCTGAGCTAGACATTTCAATAAGTAAGATGTGGGTGGATAACCTGTTACATTTTAAACATCTAAATTTGGAGGAAATGGAGAGATAAACAGAGACTCATTATGGAAATGGTTTGATATTTTGAACTGATGACTTTATTGAGAACGGTATAAAATCTACTTAGCTAGGAAAATTGACCTTACTGGGCTTTGCTTTTTAATGTGCACATTGGAGGGACTTACAGGTCCAGACATAGTGCATCTTTTCTCTGCAGATCTGTATCAGAACGTTGTACCATTTTTTAATCATTTAGGAATTGGGCAGCCTATATGGACTCCACTATATTGATTGCACGGTATGACTGAAGAATATCTCTCCTGTCAGGGCCACAAAATAAAAAAAAGTGGACTGATAGAACTTTTACACACACACAACTTTTTTTTTTTTTATCACTCCATTTATGTCTTTAACAGCTATACTGAAATGTAATTTATAGTACATAAGAGAGTTAGGAATTTGGGCTCGTCTGCTGGCTTTCTTTATTTTTCTGCCCATACACCTTACGATTATCGTTCAATTTCCGAACAAAATCGGGTTTTCGTACGATAATCTGCCAGTTGATGGGAAATGTACGATCAGAATTACCCAAATACCCAGAATTTCAGTACAACCGGACAAATTTTGTCTATCGGGCAGCCTGGAAAACTTTTTTCGAATCGTACAAAAATTGATAGATTAGCTGCGTTTTCGTACGAAAAAAAACGCAAACACTGCACATGCGTAAACAAAAATCCATTCTGTTGATCGACGAAATTCGAATGACGGTTCGATGACAGGACGTAAAAAAAATGGAACGATAATTGTAAAGTATATGGGCAGCTTTAGTGGGGAGAAACTGAGAGGGGATGCAATCGGAGTGAAGTAGTTCGGAGTCAGCCGATCATTGAATTGGTGGCTGACATTTTGGGAGGAGGAAAGGCGACATCCAATAATTAAAATACTGTTATCTTTACACAGAGCTACCAGTAAGGGTTTGCAGCAGTTTTATCTACAACAGCAATCTGCAAGCTTTCATCCTGGACAGTGTTTTATATGATTTATGATGATTCACTTGGTTTGGTTTACATGCTTTTGTATAGCCTAGTCCTTGGGTAATGTCGATCACTTGGTGGGTGGACAGTGGTTCATGGCCAACTCTATTTCCTGCCTCCTCACTTTAGAATGCAAGAATAAGGAACACTTTAGAGATGAGGATCTGGGGCGAGTGAAAAGTGGGAATGGTTAAATTATGCTGAATTATGGACGTGGCCCAGCAGTATGTGCTTAGGTTTGCTTAGAGTGATGCGGGTAAACCTTGAAAAATCCGAAAAATCACTGAATGAGAATTATGAATTGCAATCAAATGTGCTAAACATAAATTCTGTAAGTGGAAAAATATGACACTTATGTAATATAGGCAGTAGTAACAATAATTATAATAGTAACAATAATAGTAGAACCATTACCTAAACAATAAAAATACCTAAAAATGGCCTTGATATAGAACCAGCTGATAAGACTATTTAAAAATATGTTTACCTTAAAACTAGGGATGTACCGATACCGATACGAGTATCGGAATCGGTGCCGATACCGAGTATTTGGGCGAGTAATCAGGAAGCCAGGTGGCGAGTCATTACACACCGCCTGGTTTCCTTAATGGGACTTCCGGTATCGATATTCGGTATCGGCGAGTACCGGAAAAAAATATTGCTACTCAATATCGAAAAACCAGTATCGGTGCATCCCTACTTAAAACAAGTCAGTCTGATGTATATACAGTAAGCTACTGCTGGACTGATGGAGTAGAAATGGTTCTAATGGAAAATTTTAAAAACGGAGATCATCAGCACTCAATTCTTTTGCCAATTTATTGAAGAAACATGTCACAGGTGTCAGTTAGCCGGCGTTTTGGGGCCGCGCAAAATGTGGCCACTATGCCACTATGTTGCCTTGAACTAGGGACCTTGCGTGGCCCACAAAATGTTGCCTAATTGACACTTGTGACATGTTTCTTCAATAAATAAGCAAACCAATTGAATGCTTTTGACTGAGTGCTGTGATCTCCGATTTTAGAAAACATGGCGTCATCCGTGTAATCACTACGAGCACCACGACCACTAATCAAGGTTCAATCGCTGTAAGAAGTGCAGGTGACACATCATAACACTACATGGTTCTAATGGATACTGCAAAGCGGAGGACCCAGGGAGGAGGAATTCCATTTTTGGGAGCACTGCTGAAAGCCAGAATGTAAAGTTTTAACCCGGCCTTTAATTTTGGTACTTGAGCGATTTTGCGATTTTGTTAACATCTATAGCTCAACCTATGAGGAAAGGGGAGGCTCTTTTCCCCTACACGTGTTGGCTGTATCCAATGTTCTTAAGCAGTAAACATTTCAAAAAGATGAGCATTTGAACTAGGAGCTATTCAATACACATCCAAGAGTTGAAAAATCAGGGACGCAAGCAAGGTATGTGGACTCAAAGAAAAGTGGGGTTTTGTAAAAAATTAAAATAAATGTGGGCATGTTGAATGTGATCTGCAGGTAATTATCCATATGAATGAACTGGGAAACTTGCTTACTTGTACCAGTGCATGGATTGGCACAGGAACATTCATTGGCTGGTTCAAACAGCAACCAGTTGGGCTTACGTTCTGCGCTTAAATGGGGGAATAAAATATGCTAGTGTCTCACTAAGGGTCTGGAGGGGAAGGGAGTAGGGAAGGGCTGTGTGAGCAGATGGAGTTTGTATAAGGTGGAAGTGGTTTGTGTGTGGGCGAATAGAACTAAGAGGAATTAGTAGATTAATACACTGCGGGCAACAGCGGAGACACTGGATCCAGTGTGGAAGGTGTACAGAGTTTGGTGGATGTTCAGACTTTGACAGTGATAATGGAGGAGTGGAAGTGGGTGCGGTGAGCAGGATAATGTACTGATATATTGACAGAAAGTCACTCAGGGATTAAAGGGGCCTAAGCCAAACATTGTTGCCTGCCTGCGAGAGAATCATCTACAGTAGCTATGGCACACTCCTCCATGTTGGCTGTGGGCAGAGTTGATGTTATCAGCATTCTTAGCTGAATGGGGAGCCAATAAGAGCGAAGGAATGAGAGCAGAATACTTAGGTGTGTAGCCGAGTGCCGGAAGGAGCATTCCAGGACTCTGCTGCAGGACACAGCTCAGCTGCATGGGATGCTGGGATTTTGTTGAAATTCACAAAGATTGGTTATACAATGTTTCTGGTTATGGGTTTATGAGTTTAAAAAAAATTGAGACAAAATTTGATTTGAATACCAACAAAGGGCTGCAGCTAAAAATAAATATCCAGTAATATGTCTGGTGTTTAGTTATTTACTTCTGTTCATATTGTGCATTTTGAGGTGTGTAGAATCCCATGTGTCCATCCCTGTTCCCCCTTTGGGAGATGAGGATGTGGTCTTTGTTGTAATTAACACTAATCAACATCCATAAATTAACCTAAAACACAGAAATAATCTCCCTGTCTCCCATCTACAGACTGGGCACAGCAGAGGTATTAAGAAGCCATACCAAATAAACAATGTAGTGGGACCCATTCAGGCCAACCTGTTTTGCAGTTGGTATTTACCCAATGAAAGTACAGAAATCATAATGTAGTTTTCAAGTGAATAGTTTATCTATTCTTCAGCTTTTTGTGTTTCTTAGAAGTATACTCATCCAGTGATTCTCAAAGTTCAATAGTTTAAAGACCACTTTAAACCATGTCACAGATGTAATGGACCACATACACCCACATTCACATCTTAAAGTACAACTGCACTTTAAAATGATTTTCTTGTAATTTGCTTCCCCCACACCCCTAAGTGCTGTCCACCTGGCATTATACTTGCCTCCAGCCCTGATCCAGCAATCTTCACTTTGCATCCACATTCCATACGGCACAGCTTTTGTTCTGAAAATAGGTGCTCCATACTGCGCAAGCATGGCGTGGCCCCATTCATTACTATGGGAAACATGTACTCATGGTGATCTCAAGTGTTTTCTCAGAGTATGGCTTTTGTATAGTATTTAATTGGGCCATGGCACGGATGCACAGTACAAATAAGTCATTTTTAGAGCAGAGGCTTGGAGTGGGGCTGCACAAAGACTGCCGGATAAGGAATGAAGCAAAATATAACACTAGGTGGGCATCTCGGCTTTTGTTGTCCATTTTGTAATTTGCTCCCAAACCCTCTCCAGAGTGGGGAAGGGTTAGACCCTCTGCCAAATTGTTATTGATGTGTGTTTCCCCATTGGGGAGATTCATCCCTCTATTTATCCTGCTGATCCTGGTCCCCTAGACTGAAAATATGGTGAAATACAAAATTTTAGAGTGGTCTTGAGAGCAAGAGGAAATCTTTCAATGAGGAAACCTGTTCACAATGAGGCTGCTGGAGGCTTCACCTTAGAACGTGAGGAAACATCGCTGCCCCCCCCCCCCCCCTCCCTCTCCCCCCAACCCATTTTGAAGCAACATCCGCGCCCCCCCCCCCCCCCTTCCCTATCACCACTACCAGGAGAGGAAGAGGGCATGAGAACAGAGCACCTGAATTAGATTAACTATGTGCACTGTAAGTCCCTGTTCTCTCTGCATCACACCACTGACCTCTGCGCTGTGCGTGCACAGCGCCGACCTCTGCGCTGTGCGTCCAAAAGTATGGGGTGAGGTGGGGGTTGGATGGGCAACTTCTCCACTGGGGGAGTAACTCTAAAGGGGCCCATACACTGCACGATTCTCGTACGAGAATCACGGGAAATCCCGCGATCGTACGAGAATCGTGCAGTGTGAATGATGACGTGCGATCGTTTCTACTGTACGGTCGCACGTCTTTTGTCTAAGGTGCATGGTAGAAAACCAGCCGAAAATCTCACGATTTTCGGCTGGTTTGAATGATGCTCGGAAGACAAATGCCGAACGGGCCGGTGTGCACACGCGCACACTGCCCGTTCAGCATTGCGGTCATCGAAAGCCCGCCTCTCAGGGGGGCGGGCTTGCGATGATCGCAAGTACGATCTGCCTGTCCAAGATGGGAGATCATACGTTTTTTTTATTACTTTACAACCATCGCAAAACTAAGGTCTTGCGATGGTTGTAAAGTGTATGGCCACCTTTAGTCTTTGCCCTGGGTGACAGAATATCTAGCTTCACCATTGCACACACCGTTCTGAGAGAAATTGATACTGTAAACTTGAAAAAGAATCCAGTTTTATTCCAAATATGTCAATACTTTTTGTGGCACTGACCTGGAACATGTATGAAGGTATTCTGATTTCACTTTGACTTTCTAAGCTCCATGTCTGATCAGGGTCAGTGTCTGAATATTAGGGATGCAAAATACAGGTTTTCTGGAAATTGAGAACGAATACCGATATATTTTTTTTCTGGACTCACCGATACCAACATCCATGGGCCCGGATTATCAGGAAGTCAGTGTTCTATCAAAAGAACACCGGCTTTTCTCTCCTTGACACTGCGAGGCAGCATGGCTTCCTGACCAATCAGGAAGCCAGACGGTGGTTCATGATGTGCCGCCCAGCTTCCTGATTGGCTAGGAAGCCGGCTTCCTGATTGGCCGAGAAGCCAGCTCCATGCTCCCTGGCTACACTGCCAGTAAGAGGGAGATCTCCCTCTGACTGGAAGTTCCAGTATCGGGGGCAAGTATCGGAGCATTTGGGCGAGTATGAGTATTCGCCCAAATACTCGGTATCGCCAGCGATACCAGTATACTATTATCAGTATCGGTGCATCCCTGAGTATTGAAGGCAGCCACCATATTTCTCTCAATAGAAGACTCCTTTACCCCTTTAAATTCTCACCTAAAGGCAGCTGTGAACGTGTTGCTGCTTTTCCCTGATGTCTCACTCTGGCGTTGTTATCAGGATTTATATACTTTGTGCTGTTTTCTATATTTCTGCTCTGCCGCTTTCCTAATCTCAGTCTACAGTCTAAATGGCTTCCTTTTTCTTCTGTCTCTATTCAGTTTCAGTCTCCTCCGCTGTCTAGCGGTTTCTTTTTTAGCTCCCATAACTTGAGCCGCCAGGTATACCTGGACCCTTGATGCCCCCCATCCTTACAATCTCCTCTAGCACTCACTTGTAAGCCATAAATGTGCAGTGTGCGGTAAACCTGTCACAAATTTCAATGTGAGCATGTGATATAAACACAATCACAAACAGAGGTTATCTTATGTGAATAAAAAACAACACAGAGCTAAACATTCAGAATATCCAAAAATGTAGATAGTTGAATGAATTAACTGATCTCAGTTTTTCCTGTAAAAGTAACTTCAGCTGCCTTTACCTCTGGATCTACTGATAGATTTGCAGTTTTCACTGAAGGGACCTTTGCTTAATATTTGGCATCATATACACTGCACATTTATGGCTTAAAGGTGGGTGCTAGAGGAGATTGTAAGGATGGGGGCATTAAGGGTCCAGGTATACCTGGCTGCTCAAGGCCTCCTCATCTAGGTTCAGACACACGTGTATGACAAATGTTTGAGCCTTGGCAAATGTTATAATAAATGTTTGAAGAAACTGGTAATGTTTGTGAAAAGTATTCTTAGGTTTAAGAGCACTTCCGTAGAAGAACCAAGGAACAATGGATTTTTTTGCAGAGCAGTGCTAAGGGAAGGTAGAGGGGAGTGGAGCTCCAGCCCCAAGTAGTGGGAATGTGGCAGCTGTGCATCTGAAGGTAGAGAGGAAAGAGGTCACTGGGGGTAATGGATCTCTACAGACTTAGAGTGGAAAGACTTGGGTGCTGCCTGACAATGGCGGTTGGACAAAGTTATCAAGAAGCCAGGGAGATCAGTATGGGTATGTATATCCCAAAACCTGATAAAGGATTAAAGAACAGAAAAGTGACTTTTGGGACCACCCGAGGTAGCTTCACGAGTGTAGAAGCCCAGATGTTGGTGATCTCCTGCCTGAAGTGTTCCACGGGTGCTTTAGAGGGTGCAAAGAGGACCAAATATTTACATTGATCAAGTAACAAATGAGTACTGCTGATCAAGAATGGGCAATAGGGGTGAAGGGGTAAGAGATCCAGACTTTGTGATATGTGGCAAACTGCTCCTGGCTAATTAGGTTTTGGGATCCTGGGTGGAAATGGATTGGGCGCTTTTGGTGCAGAATGCTCATAACTGTTGAGGGGGGAGTGTGTTCTGTTATATGGTAGAGGAGTAATATCAATATTACTCCTCTATCATAATATTATTTACTTGAAAAACGTATTTGGTTTATATTAAGACGAAAAATATCTTGCTGCGCCTAGCATACTGTTCTATTCTTAATCCTTTGAAAATAGATGGGGGCTGAACAGTGAGGACTAGTGGGCAACAGACTCATCAGGGAGCTACATGCTGTTTTATGGCATTGGCATTTAAAGGTTTAAAACATATTGATATTTAGGCACGTTGCCCAACAGCACTAGCCTAAGTAAATGCAAATCCATGTAACCTTTGTTCCGTTA